AAGATCAATTATGTTTGCTGTGCTATGCTCCATTGGGAGCTAATAACCCGTTTGTACCTATTCCTATCTATTTTAAAATTTATGTAACACATATATATATATAAGTAGTTAACAGAATATATAAAACAAATATTATTAAATATTTTATCTTCAAAACTGTTTATTTTTATGATATTATTAAATACTAAATATTTTTTCTTTAACGTTTTGTTTTTGTTTTATCAATTTCATTAAATATCTTTTATGCAATCTGGCAACACTTATTTTACAAAATATTTTTAAAATTTTATCAGCTTTCAATGTGACGTCTTCGTCTATAAAAGCTTTTACGTTGTATCTGCGATGTATTTATTTTTCATATTATTTTATATTACCAAGTATGATTGAATGGCAAAAGGTAAACATGATTTGAATATTTAAAAGTCATTTAAATATTTACAGGTAACAAATATTGGATAGAGTGTCGTTAAGCACCAAAAAGTGGCGTAATTTGCACATTAATCAGAAAAAGTACCTGCAGTATTATTTTTTCCACCAAGTCTAAATCGCACGTAGACTCGAATTAACACTCAAATAAGGGTGTAAACGTATTTAAGCTGGTGTTATGTATGCGGAACACGCTACACTAAGCACTTAATGGTACATAAGTAGTTTACCCGAAACTATTAACATTAATATTAATAATAAAAATATTTACAATTATGAAGAGAAGTAGTTATTACAGATAATTTAAAGACCGCCAGATTCATTTCAAAATAGTTAGAGCACTTTAGTTTAAGTGAAGTCTTTTATAGAACCATATAAATTTAGATTTCACAATTATTGAAAATTTTTTTATTGAAAGTGAAAATCTCGGAGAATTAAAAATTGTTGATATAAAGGACCAAAAATAGGAAAGTTACTACATTATATACTAAAGGTAAATTTTTTCTCATACATTTAATTCGTAACTTGTAACTTGGTATTAAAAATTACTCAATTATTTGTAAATAATTTGTTTATTGGTTTATAATTTAAAAATTATAAGTGTTGGGTGTCTTTAATATATAAATAAGTAGATCTATTAATTACCTACACTGCAAGACGATCGAAAAACCGGGTTGCATAAAAACCAGGTTACTTAGATCCAAAAAATGCTCCACCTAAGCCAAGGGCTATAGACGAAGCCGCTCCAATACCTAGGAGATCATTTCAGTAGTGATCTGACAAAATGAGCGAAAGTATACTTTTTAAATCTCTTCAGCTTTATCTGGATAATTAAAGAGAAAATGGTTAATACAGATCACTTTTGTTTAACGATCCTTAAGTGTTAGTGCTGATGCTCGCAGGCAAATGCACAAAACCTAACTTGGTCCTTAATGTAAATCCATTATATTTATTTATTATGGACTGAAAATCATTTTACTGCTTTTGAAACTAGTCTTTATTATATTGTGCCTTCTGAGTGTACGCCGGGTAGTAAAAAGACAGATGAGTAAAACTATCAAATTGATTATTTTGCAAATCTTTAAATATTTTTGTCCATTTTTTTGAATATAACTAAATTAATTAACTAACTAGAACTTGAACTATAATTTTTTGTGAATCTGAATTTGATTACTTGTGTGTCTAAACCTCTACTTTTCTGTTAACTGCAGATTTGTCATTGGCATAGCACCATAACTACATACATGGTTATCGATCCATGCCCAAGATGTATTGCCTAATGACAATACCCGGACATGGTGAAGGCTAGTCATCGGAGAAAAGTCAAAACAAAAAACGTATATACTTATATAAATACGATATATTATATATATGTATATTATATATATATATATTATATATATGTATATTATATATATATATTATATATATATATATTAAGTATATATATATATTATGTATATATATATATTACCCTACAGACTATAATCTATCGGATGGTATACTTTACCTTCATGAAATGCTATAATAGCAATAATAGTATACAATTTTAGATATATCAGAATATATATTATTATATTATATATAATTTCAGTATTATAGAGTTCATTTAAAATGAATGCAATATTTTTAAATAAATTAATGTTATATTAAAATTTTAATTAGATTTACATTGGGTTATCGTTTCCACATACGTTTACATTTAAATATTATCTTAATAAATTTTATATATTAAAAATCAAATAGTAATCTATTATATATTAAGTTTATTAGATTCCATAGTATATAGTATTTTTACTATATAGCTTGCAAGTATCTTCTTTAACCTATGAAATAATTATGACTGTGACATAGAATAATAAATCAAGAAAATCTAAATATTTTAACACTATATTTAAAAAGTATTTTCATATATATATTTTTTTTTTAATACACACTAATTGTACGTGTTACACCAATAAGAATATTATTCCAATAAATCAAAGTAATGCTCCATATTATTATTTGTATTTTCGCATACACTAAGTCTATCGAAGTGAAGTGGCCATCATAAATATTATAAAAAATAATTCAAATGCAGACTATTATATATTATTATCATATCATTAATTTATATGCTTTTTTAATACTACATGCTCTTCAAATTGTTTTTTATTTTTATTTAAGTTCATTTTATTCTAAATTTATACCTAATTGTATTCTTATTGTGCCGTTCTTTTTAGAAATAGAATTCCTATTTGAGTTAATATATATGTTTAAAATTTACACATCATTTTTTGGATATTGTTGTCGTATAAAGCGAGTCCCAGATTTGAAATATATACAACTACTATGTATTGTACTACCATTATGTTAATAATTATTAAACTGGAGAATTTAGTACTACGACCTAAATATCTATTTAGTACTACTACTTAAAGATCATAGACTTAAATCATATCTCCAAGTCTACTTGGAGATAAATCTTATATTTTTTTCGGATATAAAAAGCCCACGTTGGTATTTCTTTTATTACAATAATATTTAATGATTTCTTCGTTATTTGAAAAAAAATCTGGTTTTTATAATTAAAGCTTATTAGTTATGTGTGTATAGAAATATATATTGCTTTATATTTTAAATTGCAAATACTTACTTGACACATTACATGATAAAGTATATCGAATTTATATATTCGATCTAACAGACTTATAGATCTGTTGTGATTCTTTTTTAAATCGAGAGTATTTTTTAAATTCCAACATACCATGGATCAATTACAGTGTTGTACCTACTTTATTGAGTCTTAATTTTTCATTTAATGTAAGATACTTTCTTTGTCATTCCTTTCTTTGTAATAACAACATACAATGATTTCTTCACTATCTGTAAAAAATCTTATTCTTTTAATTCTGTCCTTTGTGTGAATAAGAGTACATATTCTAAGATATTTTATTGACTTACAAATATTTTTTTTGACTCAAAAGTACAAGCAGTAAATTAAATGATAAAATAATAAGATATTTTAAACATGTCTCAAATGTATTATTAACACATTACTTGTATGTTAGATATACTTTTTATTGAAAAGATATATAATTATGCATAACTACATATTTAAGGGTTTTACTACAATTCCTAAAATCTGTATTTCTAAAATCTGTATTTCTCGATAAATTGTGATATTAAACATGAAGAAATATATTTATTATAATATATTTATTATGTATATGTATACATATATACATTTATATATTATAGTATTAAATCTTTATATATGAATATATATATGAAAACGTGAAGTGATATTGGTATAAAATATTTAAATGAGAAATACTTATGTGGATACCTTCTAATGAATTTGAAAAAACTTTTTAATTATATCACTCATGATTATAAAAAACTGAATATCTGGGAATTAATACCCAACTCTGACTTATTAATCATAAAAGAAATTTTAACACAATCAGCAAAAAAAAAAAACCGTTCTAATATTTTATATTTAAAGTTTATATAGAAATGAGTAAGCTAATGTATTTTAAAATAAATATTTACTAATATTTTATCCAGTGATCTATTAAAAATTATGTTTTGAAATATACTACTTCCTATTAAATATAATAGTCACTTTCGTCTGAAAATATTGACGTTAAATTACAACTTATATTCACTAAATATTGGTCTCGCCCGCACGAATCGTGGAGTAATATTAACAGGACTTTCTCAGTATTTCGTTCCTAGATCAGGTTTTATATATGAGAAAAATATATAAATCTTGCAACAAATGTCTTTACAAATAATAGTATTGAAATTTAACAATTAAAAATAAACATATAATTAATAAATTCAATTATTCTACAGCTGGTTCATGATTTCGTTATAATATAAACATATAAACACAGCAAATTAATAAAACTCCAGAAAAATGTGCGAACATATAAGTCAAGTACGGCTTTGGGTCAGTTGGTTAAGGAGTGCTGACTCTGAGCTTCAAATTTGGCAGGATATGAGTTCAATTTCTGGTACCTGCATTCTTAAAAAAATTATTTAAGAGTAATTAAATACAAGAATTATTTTCAATACCAGTGATGGTGGTCAGCCAAAAATTCAATTAATTAAAATAATATTAAAAAAAAAATTTTTTTTTTGTTGTTGTAGTTCACTACTTTTCGGAAACCTCATTGCGAACTATTAATAATATTAAGAACACAACAAATTATGATTCAATAATTATCTTTAGATTCAATGAACTATTCACTACTGAACTATTCAAATTTTATAAAAAATTCGTTACCTTCTATATGCTTAATATTTAATATTTTGCATATACCTATACCTAAAATCATTAGATCTTTTGTAGGTGCCAATGTAAGTGTGATATGCAGCTCATAGTGTGACTCGATAGCAATAATTAAAATATGTGATAAACCACAAAAGAAAAATACCCACCTTCATTCCCACAATAAATGGTTTGCTAAGCAAACGCTTCTAAGTAAACCCTGAATAAAAGTACTCAGTTTGTTCTTATCTAATCGATGACGAATGATAAAAATTGTTAAATAAACTGCCAATATTCATTCTTAGCCTTCAGTATTGAACTTACATTCTTAAAGCCAACAACTTACAATTTTTTGAAATTTTATTATCGAGAAAATTTAAGTTTACTTCGTTCGAACTTTAAAAACAACTCAAATCCAACGATATGAAGATCTTTCAACTTTTGTTTATCTTCGGTTTAATATTGGCCGCAGTCTGCTCGGTCACAAGTGCACAGGAAGAAGATGCACCAAAACGTAAATTCTGTCCTTGTCCACGCAACTACGATCCGGTGTGCGCCAGTAATATGGTGACTTATTCCAATCGCTGTGAGTACGACTGCGTAAGGCGCCAAGCAGAAAGAAGTGGACGTTCATTACCATTATTGCGTAATGGACCATGCTAAGGATATTTGGACCAGAAAAAAAAAAAATGATTTTGTTATTAATTATTTGATGTGTGAATTTTGTTTTAAATTAATCTATTAAATATTTTTTTTTACATATAAAAAAAAATGTAATTTTCGTTTGTTTGATATATTCTTAATCACACCAAAATATTATTTATCAGTTTGTGATAATATTTATCGATGTGTAATTTTTGTGGTGCTTTATCGGATTTACGTTTGTTTCATTTGAGTTTCTTTTATGTGCAGTCGCTGTGTATCTTTTTCTTGCCGTAAATAGTTTGTTTAGATTCGTTGCTGTCAATATAACAAATTGATATGCTATCAGCGAAAGAAGTTATCAAGACCGAAAATATTTAAATATACAAAAATAAATGCATTTCATTGATAATCATAAAAATACAAACGCTTATTAATAATAAAAATATTTAGTATTGTACTCGTAAAAATGGGAAATCAACGGAAGCATTTAAAATTTGATAAGATTTTTCTAGCAAAAAAAGAAAGTCTTAATTAAACTAGATACAAAAACAAAGAAAGTTTATACAATAATACAACAAACAAATTTCAAACTAAAAAAAAAAATTAGTCACAGTTGTCTCAATTTTTATTTATTGATAAAATTAAAGTTTCTTTCAATTTTATATCATTTTAAATTGCTTTTGATGTGTAATCTGCTAATAATAATACTTGGTTACAAAAAAAACACTTGTTTTGATACCACAAATATTACATATATGTATATAACACTGAATTCATTAATAAATGCAAAAACTATTTAATATATTTTTTATAATTCCAACTATACAAATTATTAAACTGAACTGTGTTTATGTTTTTTTGTACCTAGTTTCTCTAAGACTTTTTTATTAGAAAAATCTTACTGTCTTAGCACACTAAACAATTCTTCATCTGCATAATTCTCTTTCAACTTACCTACTTATTCTAGATACGCCAAGACGTTTTTATTAGAAAAATCTTACTGTGTTAGCACACTAAACAATTCTTCATCTACATAATTCTCTTCCAACTTACTTACGGTCTATTACGGTGCATAGACAGCTGCAAATTCTAGATACGTTAACATTCAGTATTTTATTATATTCTTTACAAAGCATATATCTAATCCATCCGCACTTACACTTTTTTCAAGTCAGTTTTAGTGTTAACTTGACTCGCTACAGATGGACATCGATTACCAGATTCTCTAGACTTAAATATTACCATGAGTGTATATTTAGTTGTCTATACATAAGGGAAATCCCGCTTGCTGCTTATTTATGAAGATGACCATTGAATATCTTAACAATAAAATTTAGAATATCTTTATTAGAAGCTATTTATAACTCAAACTACCATTTTGCAAAGAAAAGGATCGATTTATGGAGACTTCGAATTAAAGAATTTTTTTATAATTATATATAACTTCCTCTCTAAACCCTATTGCACTCTATTTAGTACGAGTTATAGAGAATTCGAGTTAGAGTTATGAAATTTTAACTGTATATGTAGATATAAAGATGGATGATAAATTTTTATTTTTTTGGAATCTAAAAGTATTCTGATTTTTAAGAAAGACGACTTTATATTTTATTGGAAAGTACCTTATTATCCGTGGATTGAAGAATATTCGTTCCAACTATCGTTCTCCCAATCAATATTAAGATCGAGCAATAACATGGAATATAACTATCATCTGCTTTCAAACTTAGATATCATTCTATCACATAAAATAGTTCAACTTTATTCAGAACATAAAGCAGACTAAAGTGTCCCTTTACTTTATTCAATAGCAATTTTAGATCTTTTTCATTAAGAGAAGTTGCGTTTTTATAGCAAATATAGCAATGACTAAGTATTTGAAAAGTTTTTGAATGCCTTGCTACTAGTATCAAGTTATCACTTAGAGTCTTTATACTTAGTATATTAAATCATTCCATAGTTGGCCATATAACAGTTCTAAAATCTTCTAAAATATTTCATTTCATTTCATGACCCCATAGAACTTCATCTCTGACTTCTCTGATTATGATTTTTATTTGGAGGTGTTTCAAATGACAAAAATCAGCAGAGCCTGGTTCTTTATAAATATTACAGACGTATATATATATATATATTTATATGACAACATAGTCGCTATATCTATAAGAATTTTCAAGAATATTTGTGTTATCTCCATATATCAATATTAATTTTTTCTATTGGCATAAAAAACAACAAATCGAATTGTAGCAACTATTATTGCATTTCTCTGCTAGAATTTGCATATAACGCTCGTATATTTAACAATATAATTTATGATCGATTGTGACTCTTTGTGCCTTATTAGATCTACGGGAACTGATATATATACACACACATATATTTATGTGCGAAAAACTAATTCCAGACAAAATATTTGTTGACTTTCAATATAAGCGTTACGGTTTTTATAAAGAGCAATTTTAAAATATTATTTACTTTTAATGGATCCCGAAAATTCTTGAACATCTCCTACCTACGCCCATGGATATATTAATACTTTAAAAAAACTCCCTAGATACTGTTTCCAAATATATATAGAATAAAAAAAAAACAAAAAGATCGATTACCTTTGAATGTAAGGCTTTAAGAAAAATGATAGCAAATTTCTCATTAAACATAATCATGGGGTAAAGCAGATGATGGATAAAAAAATAACAGACTCGATGTATGAAGACGGACACATTTACTGTACCGACCGAATTTAACAATCATCAAAACAATTTTGTTACAGCAAGCTTTAAGTGTAAAGGCGAGAGGAAAATATGAAGACTGCAAATGAATAATGGATGAGTCGAGATGTCCGAAAACGAATATCAAAAGAATTGTTGGCCCACTTAAGGCTATAATTCAAAGCATTTCTTCGTTCGTACTAATTTTAAAAGCAACAATTGACTAAAACTCGACTTAGTGCATTTTGAACATATCTTCTTTTAGTACGTATATACCAAAACATAAGTATTGATGAGTTAAGTTAATTTAGTTATATATAAATTCTAAGTTCGAAATAGCCTTGAACAAACCGATTAATAAAATCAGTTGTTAATCATGCAAATACTGTTTAAACTGAAAGAGAGTAATTAGTTTTTTATAGTGTATATATATATATATAACGCTTCAAGCGATTATTAATAAAAACTATTGTTTTCAATAAACTTTTCAATAAACAATAGTTTTAAGATATTTATTCATTTTTTACTATTCACTATTTTTAATGAAAAGCGTCAATATTCACTAATTTTATTCTAAAACCTTAAAAAAAAACTTCACAGTAAAACTTTTGCTTCAGTACCTAAAAATAATATATTCTAAATAATTTAATTGTTTTCATTTGTTACTTAAGTATCTTTTAATAGCCCAATGTTAAATTTCATATGAAAAAGTTAATAATAAAATACATAGCACTTGGCTGGCTTTAAGTATCGAAAAATATTAAAATCTTATAAAATTTCTGGTGATTCACCCGAAGTCGGTGATTTATTTTAGTCATTAAATTACAACTTTAAATAAATTGACTAGGTTTTCTTTGCAATTATCACATTTAATTTTAACTGGAAATCAACAATTTAACACTTGAAAGTTCATATCTCATAAAAATTATATTATATTATATTATTTTAACAGTTTCCAGAGTGTAGCAATTTAATAATCCTGCCCATGCGTGCCATGCTGCTTCGGGCACACTCAAATTCACATGGATTTGTGTAGGTTTGGGAATCGGAAGCGCAGACTGGATCAAAATTACGTGGACATAAGCAATCAACTGGAATTGGATCGTAATCAGCGTCTTCATTTGCCATGGCAAAGACTGCCAAGCAGCTCAAAATGATGAAAGTAAAGAATATGGCAAACTTCATTTTGTTTTTGTTCAGATATATCCTCTTGAAATGTACTGTACTTTGTTGTTACACTAACGAAGTATTTAATTCAACTAAACTCATTTTATATAATAACACCTATTTTAAATAAACGGTTAGATTAGCAAATGTATGCGATAAGGACACGTCATAATATCTCTTAAGACCGGTGTATTTGTATTTAATCATTATGATATATAAACGTATATTGAAAACACGCACGTCAAATGATATATGAAAACGAAAATTTATGATATTTGATAGCAAAATATTGTCTTATCAAACTTTATTGGATTATTGTATTGACAATCTGTCTAAAATCAAACTTTCTAGTACATACTCTACGGCATATGAGTAAACAAATAAACGGCATATGAGAAAAAAATAAACAAACTAAATAAAAGCTGGCAATTGTTTTTCCCTAACAATTCAAATAATAAGAATTTAATATAAAATATATATTCTTTCCAAAAAGAACAACATATAGTTATATACTTAACATATATATACTCGAATTCAGCAAAAATATTTTTAAAAAAATGAGTAATAAATGCGTCTTTTTCAATTTAATACATAGCAGCAACCTTGTTTCAATTTTTTTTGTAACATTATAAACTTTATTTGGAATATATCTTATTGACAATTATAGCAAATAGCAAAAATATGGAAATTATAAGACATATATTTATTTTATTCGTTTTAAAAAAATCAGGATTTCACAAAAGGGCCATTAAGGGAAAAAACATGTCTGTTCAAACATATATACCACCGAACTTCTTATTACATGTTCGATAACTAATACTTTGGTAGTGAAACTACCAATCAATCCAATAGTGAACACAACATATTATGCTTCATCAAAACCATATAGAAAGAAACTAACAATTTTAGAACCAACCCATACGTAGCTCTTAGTGCATGTGAGCACTGGCTAGATACTATATATCTAAAAGAAATAAAGAAGAGAAGTATATATTCTTCTAAACATATATTTTTAAATATATTTTTTGATGAATTTTAACACTGACCTTACATATATATACTTGTATAAGGTTTTTCTTACAATCAGAAAACATATGCCTTTTTTGTCGATTTCTTATATGCGTTTGACCTAAGAAGCCTTATTTTTCAAGCTAGCTATATTAGATTTGTCTTACAAGTTTTTGACCATACTAATGAAATTATACTCGAACACCAGCAGTTGCATAAGCGACGGTAATCTTATGTCTTCTTCGTTTAAATAGACCCAATGTGTAATACAAGAATGCGCGGTCAGCCCAAGTTTGTTCTCCCTTTACAATCTACAAGACTATTTTCATGTTTTGTAACTGATGGAGTATCTATCAATTCAACTCAACTCATATAAAAGTGCTTTTGAATGCTGATGTTGTGGTGCTGCTTCTGGACTCACCTGATGTACTGCAAATTATGATGGATGATCTGTTTAGGTATTATTCACAATGGGATCTTATTACGGACCTAGATAAATCCCAGATTATGATTTTAAAAAATGGTTCTAGAGTAAGAAATTCATTGTCGTAGAAGTTTGGGAAAAATAAAGTAAAAATTGTCAATATAAATATAAATAACTCGGAATATTAATTACGTATATTGATAACGTATAACATACAATAAGCATTTGACCCCTAAACTTTCATTAGGTAAAAATGCCAAATCAACCCCACGTGGATGAAGTACTTGTCTAATCCTAAAATAACTTCAGCAAATAAACTAAAAATTTCCTACAAAGCCGCACGTTCAATTGTACTTTACATTTCCGAAGTTTGGGATTTGAAACATTATGATCAAGTGAAAAAACTGTTAAGATTTTTTATAAAAAATATTCTATTTCAACCGACTAATACCACAAACTATATACTCCACTTAAAAACGGGCATACCAACGCAGTTCGTAGACACAGTGCAAACACATTTGCCCTATATAAGAAAAATTCCTAATCTCCCCTCCACAAGGCTTACTCGAATACTAGCCGAACTTACGATTAACAAGGCTATAAATTGAGCCAAAGATTGAGAAAATGTGTGTTTAGAACTGGGTCTTTCAATACACAATATTTAGAGTTTGGATCTTAAATTATTTATACAATAATATTATGACTTCATACAAACGGAGTAAACGCGATTCCTTTGCCTCGAGTGCTAGATCGGGATCTCATGACATAGACCCACGGCTGCAATATGACATTATGCATAGTTTTTATTACGAAAACACGCAGCACATATTCAGCTTACATTTTAAATGTAGAGGCAGTCTTTTTAAACTGAACGGTAGAGAATTTAATATATCTAAACGTGATTATTCTTTATGTAATCGTCATGAAATAGAAAATATATATCATATTATAGGTCTATGTTTACTTATAACCTGTGTATATTTATAAAAGTTTTTTAGGTTACAGAAAATTGGAAGAATTTATATGTATAATAAAATTTGTAAGTGCTATATGAATTTTTTGAATCAATAATAAATATTAAAAATAGAAGGTTTGTCTATGATGAAGTCAAAAGCACTGACAGTAGCTCAGCCATAGCTGTTATTAGTGTAAATGCTATTAATATATTTGGTAGTGAAGACATTATTGTACCTTATAGTAACAATGAATCCATGTAGTATATTATTAAACACCATATTGTTCAGTATTTAAATGTGTATTATATTTTATTAGTTGTTTTTATTATTCACATTACAGTGATTCACAAATAATACAATATATCGATACATATATGTATATAGCTATAATACTATTATTTCTAACATGAGAATATAAATAAAAAAATGATTGTTTACCTATTTATATAAACGGATAAATAAGTAAATTAAGTTTAAAACAATACACAACCATAACAACAATTAAAAAAACATATATATATATATATATATATATTTATATATAAATATGTCAATATGTGCAAGTTTTTAATAATACTATTTGATTAATTCGTTTAAAAAGAATTATTAAATTATTAACTTAATTTAATTTATTCATATAACAATTATAATCTTTAAAATTACATTTACTTGTTTTAAGATGATTATTTTGACGTTATTGTGAATATCTTAAAAAGAACTATAAATTTCCGTAGTCAGGCTAATATTTTACACAATTAACTTTCGAAATAAATATTTTAAATATTTTTAATTTGTTATTATATTTTGCAATATCTTGGCACTCACTTTAAACTTATATATATACGCAGAACCACTAGTCGTAAAAAGTCTGACGAAATTTTGTGATGGTCCCGTATTGATTGGAAATAAATAACTGCCGATCTGTTTCTATACTAATTATATTTACCTAATATAAGAAAGTATACATTGGCATGAAATATTACTTCTGATAGACTTCTTTATATTTCGTAATGAATAGGTGCCCCCTATTCATTAGATTGATTCAAATGACTTATAAGAGCATAAGTCATTTGAATAAGTGATTTTTTTGACTAATGTTTCTTTACAAAATGCAATCTTCAAATGTTTTTTAATATTAATGAATTAAAAATATTGCTTACTGTGTTCTGACTGTGTCCAAAAAAAAACTAATAGCCTCCCAGAAGCTGGATGCATCCATAAAAATAGATAGTTTATGCAACGCAAGACAGATAGAGATCTAAGAGATAAAGATAGAGATTTATACCAATTTCAAAGAGGATAGTTATTTTCGCATTAAACATAATCACGAGTTCAAGCAGATGACGGGCAAAATAAAACTGTTTCGATTTATAAAAGCTTTTGGACTGGAACATGTCCTACACCAACTGTTTATCCAATCTTCAAAAAAATAATGTCACAGCAATCTTTTGGTGCAAAAGCAAGAAGTATATATAAAATCTACAAACAAAACTACAAACGAATGATCGTTAATCAGAATATCTACCAGGTGTACCGGTATGAAATGAGCGTTTTTTGGTGAAAATAAAACACTAATTATTAATAGGAAAGTAAAAAACATTTTAATCGAAGTATTGGCCATTGCTTTCTATACATTTTGACCACCTTTCTGGCAATTATACGAATATCAAAGAAACTATCTTTGTACATAATTATTTTGATATCAATAATTAATTAGAAATCAACTTAATTTCTTTTCAGCATAGTTTATTTTGATATATATTTATTTATATCTGCTTGGGTTAAGCTAAGCAATTTTATATATTAATTCTAAGTTGGAAAAAAGCTTTGAACAAATTGATTAAAAAAAGCCAAAGAATACATATTGATCATGAAAATATTATTTAAAATGCAAGAAATTATTGTTCCTCGAATCAAGACTTCAAATATTCATCATATATATAGAATATATATAATTAGCATAACCAGATCATATAACACTTTAAGCGATTATTTAAAGAATTTATTTTTTATTTTTAATGAACATAAATATTTAATTTTATTCTAAAAACTTAAAGAAAAACTTCACTGTAAAACTTTTACTTCAGTACTTAAAAATAATATATTTCAAATAATTTAATTGTTTTCAGTGGTGACTTCAGTATCTTAAAGTAACTCAATCTTAAGCTTCATGTTACTCTTTGCAGTTATCACAATTAAACGCATGAAAATTTATTACTCCGCACAAGTTCCCTCTCGTACAACAGTTATAGCTACTCCACGGGTTTGGGCACATTCTAAATCGCATTGGTTGTGATACGTTCTACCATCTGAACCACAAACTGGTATATACATACGTGGACAGAAGCAATCGGCTGAAATTGGATCGTAGTCAGCGTCTTCATTTGCCATGGCAAATACTGCCAAGCAGCTCAAAATGATGAAAGTAAAGAATATGGCAAACTTCATTTTGTTTTCGTTCAGATATATCCTCTTGAAATGTACTGTACTTTGTTGTTACACTAACGAAGTATTTAATTTAACTAAACTCATTTTATATAAAAACACCTATTTTAAATAAACGGTTAGATTAACAAATGTATGTGATAATATCTCTTAAGTCCGGCATATATGTATTTAATTGATGTGCTATCTAAACATATATCGAAAAGGCGTACATCCAATGACACATAAAAACGAATATTTAGGATATTTGATAGCAAAATATTATGTTATCAAGCTTTATTGGATTCATAATTACTGTATTGACAATCTGTCTAAAATCAAACTTTCTGGTACATACTCTACGGCATATGAGTAAACAAATAAATGAGAAAAAAATAAACAAACTAAACAAAAGCTGGCTTTTTTGTTCTCTAACAATCCAAATAAAATTAATATATAATAATATATAATATAAAATATATATAATTATATACTTAACATATATAATCTTGAAGTATGCAAACATATGTTTAAATAAATGACTAATAAATGTGTCTTTTTCAATTTTACATATAACAGCAACCTTGTTTCAAATCTTGATTCAGAATATTAATAATATAAATATTAGTTCAAGTGAATAAATTCTATACGAAAAAAATTAGTCACTGAACTAAAAACTTTTACTGAAAACAAGAAGAAGAAAGTAATATGATTAAATATATACTTTGTACTTCTGTTATTAAGTATTGTATGTGAATATCGTCATATTTTTAACAATTGTTATTAAACGATTGACAAACTTTTTTTAGACTATTCTGGACTTACCGGAATAGATTGATAATCTTTTCAACTGCCCTAGCGATTGAAATCATAAAAACATGACTTAATTAGTTGTTAATCTAATTATAATATATATTTATTATATAATTATAATTATATTGATTCTTAAAGTCAGTTGTGGTGAAAAAAAAAATATTTTTCTTAATAGAAACTAGTGTTTTCAATGGAGAGGTTTTTGGACGGTACTGTTCTTCAACAACAAAATTTTATTATTTTTAATTAATTGAATTTTTTGCTGACCAGTCAGCTGTTTCGAGTATTACCCATGATCAGTCGTCTGTTGGACATATAATTCAATATCCAGTTTCGGAAATACAGAATAAAATATTTGAATTGATTTTATTTCACGTTTATACTATACACTAAAGTAATACAATTTCCGTATATTTTTTAACATTTGAAATTTAAAATATAAATAAATTAACGTTAGCTTGAAACGCTAGCCGTTAGCATGCGGCCTGCGGCTAAGATTTGTACGGCCCACGACATGTTTTTAATCTACCTCAAAACTACATTATTTTCTTTTTAAAGTATACCAAATAAATAAATTGAAATTAATAAATTAAAAAGAAATAATTAATAATTAATAATTAATTTTCATTTTACTAAGAAGCATTTATTTAATCTTCATCATTTTTCCTTTGCCGCTTCTTGGTGTTGAACACTAATGTCACCACTCTCACTTTGGTAAAGACTCTATAACATCTTCTCAGGTTTGATCTTGAGATCTTTCAATGATGTAGCTGTTATCGAATATATTTTACAAATAGAGAACATTGACAGGATGTCATATTCGTGGAATAGTTTGATTGTGACATTATAGTAATATTATATTATGACATAAATTGACATTCATAAAAATAAATTCGCATAGATTATATGTTATTTGTATTTTTTCAGTACTCTTTAATGGCAATATTTTTGTTAGCAAAATTAATCAGTTTCAGTTTATATACTTGTCCATTATAAGTGTACGGTTTAACACGCATAGTTCTTAATACTTGAGTTACAAGCAGTGCAACCATTACGTTAAAAATTTATTTGTGTCACAACACATATAACAGTGACTATTTTATATTGAATTATAGTTTAAAAAATTCAATATTTTCTTATATATATAGAATTTAAAACAGTAATTGATTAAATTAAAATTAATCAATATTATTCTACTATGAACAACTATTTTTCACAAGTTCATTTCGTTTAACTCAATTAAGATGTCTGAATTTATGTGTAATGTTAATAAATTGAATTGCTTCAACTTTTTTTTTATCTTTAGTGTTCGAGATTTACAATATATGACTTTGTGATATCACCAACAGTTATCGTTATCAAATCTTTATAGCACTCTTCTTTCGTGATGTGTCAAATAGAACAGAGAGGGTAACTCCAGTACAGCAATACCATCAAAATTAGAAGAACAACCATCGACCCCAAACTTGCAGACCTCAAATTTACGTGGAACTACATTGGTCATAAATATAGCTCTCAACAAGATTAATGAAATTGAAGCAGTCTTTAGATTACTATATAAAGGAATATATAGTCAATAATTGTACAAAATATTTTTTCTTGACATTTAAGAACAGATAGTGTATTTACTCTGTACTCTGCAAATACAAGTCTATTTCGCTTTTAGGGATCTCGTAAATAAGTTCATGCTTGTATATGCAAAAATGGTCCTTATAAATATTTTATACCATATATTCGAATTTTTCGAAATTTCGATAATTTGTTCATAACGTTTTTCATCTTTCTTTCTACACAACATTATATATACATATATATATTTAAAAATTAAATATAATTTTAAGCGGTAACCTACTAAAGAGCCCTTGGCTCCATTAACTTCAATTGTTGTATGTGTTAGTAAAATGTTTATTTTTGTTGTTGTTATATTACTTAATATGTCTGTCCTTTTAAAAGGCTGGTTTATGATATTATCTACTTACTAACAATCACTCTTATTGATTTGAAAAAATAAATTATCATATTATTATATGATATAATTATATTATATTAAATCATTAATTCATTTGACACTGACTGAACAATGAATTACAGAATATGTACAAAATTAAGGTAACTAATACTTTTTATTTATAAAATAATATTCTATAGATGTTGTGAGTTATTAATATTTATGTATTGTATACCCTTTTACAATATCTAGTATGATACAATAGGGTTATTCACGATCTCGAGTAATGAGCTAGTTGTTCGAGTAACATAGTAACATTGTAAAGTTAGAACATGCAGTTGTTTCGTTGCTGAATACTTCCGATTTATTTATTATTTTATTTAATATTGTTTACGGTTTCTGTAAACATAGCTTTCTCTTATGTTCAAGTATCACTTAGACACTGTTAGACATTCTCCTTTGAGTCCAGTATAAGAAAAATATTAAAAATAGTGTTTAATGCACTTATCAAAGTTTTCAAAAAATAAAATAGTTTGAATGTTTTGATTTCGTAATAAGATACATACTTTCTAATGTAAATATATATAATACGCTTTTCTTATATTAAAAATTATTGGCATTACATCTATTAAACACATCAAATGTAACTCTCAACAAGAGAAACTACCCTAAGTGTACCAACCGGTATGCCGTATTAATAAAACAACATTTTTTTATTATTTGATTATGAATGTAATCGGTTCACAATTTATATACGATTTTAATATAAATTTATAAACAAATACCGATATACTGAAGAATCATTAAGCTCTATTTTATTTAATCAAAACACACTTCGACTCGTGGAGTAACATTAGCATGGCTTTCTCAATATTACGTTCCTAGATTAGGTTCTATACATGAGAGAGAATATATAAAATCATGCAAGAAATAATGCCTCTAGAATAGTATTGTGATTTTACAATTAAAAATAAAAATACAAGAAATTAATTAAATTATTCTTCAGATGATTAATGATTTCGTTCTAATATAAACACAGCAATTGAATTTGTTAATCAAACGTTCATAGCAAGTTAACAAAACTTTAGAAAAATATGCGAACCTAAAAGTTAAGTGTCAGTTAGTTAAGGTGCGCTGACTCTGAGCTTCAAAATTTGACAGGGCACGAGTTCGATTTACTTACAGTCTCAAAAAACTATTTAGAAATAATCAAATACAAGAATTATTTGCAAGACCACTAATGATGGTTATTTCGCAATACTCGAAAAATCTGTATGTTCAGCCATAAATTCAATTAATTAAAATAATATAAAATAAATTTTTGTTGTTATAATCTCTTCACAAAACATTATTTTTAATGTGTTCTTATATATTTCTATATATTTCTGTATATGTAAAACTGACTATTTTTTATATCATATAAAAATTTTTTTCTTTCACTTTCTAAATCTATTTATTTGAAACAAAAAATTAGAGCATGATGCTCTTTCCATAACAAACTTCATTAAGTAATTCACAATATTAAAGTGAATTTTACTGAACTAAGTATGATGCTAAAAATAGAAGGATTTCTTTGTAAAAACCTTTAGCCACCTACAGACTTTGATTTTGATGTGAAGTACTAAACTTATATACTTAAATGAAAATGAACTCTTTGTGAAAAAAAAATTTTTTTGATTCGTTATGATACTCTTTGTTCTACGTGCAATACGTATTTTGTAAATTATATAGGGTGTATAGGAGCACGGACCACGAAATAAGTGTACAAATATATATCAAAATGGGAAAGTTTACTGCTTTTAAGACCATCAAACGCCAGTAAATATTTGAGTTTTAAAAGCCTTGTTGCATCGCCATATCCCTTAATACAAAAGCATTACGTAAATTGGAAAACTTAACAAGGAATTCGATTCTTTACTCAAAGTAAATTTAAATAAATTTATTGTTTCAATACATGCAGAATAGTAGCAAAACAGGATAACAGAAACCTTTAGTAATGCAAACAAAATATAGTATAGCAACCGCACAACAGAATACACAATACACAACACACAGCACACAGCACACAGCACACAACACACAACACAATACACAACACAGTAGACATAAATCCTATTCAATCTGTTTTGGAGAATGCAAAAAACAAGTAAATAATTCTTTTAATAAAGCCCAAAAGTAGGTGAGCATTAGCAGGGCAGGCACGCACCTACGCAACCATTTGTACACACGTCAACAAAGGATTTTTCCTTCGATTAGGTTTATTTCACCTTGACCACGTCGGGAAACATTATAAAGGATTTACTATTAATTTTGTATGATCCACAATACGTTTAGGACTTGGACTGTTGCACGTTCTTCTATGCGTTCATATAGAGAAGGGTGTGAGTTTCTGCACCTGTTGAGACTTCTTTCCATTTGTTTGCTTAAGTAAGGATAACAAACATTCTTGTTGATTTTGCTATCAAGCTTATGTGTAATTGGAAAAGAGAAAATCCTTAGGGAAAATTTTGGTTACATTTGAAAATTTATATCGCATATACTTTACTATCCCATTAATTCTAATAAGCTAAAAACATACATTTCAAGTCGCCTTTTTACTTGATGTTAACAGGATGTTGATGAACAATCCCCAGTTACAAATGCCTTATATAGGATTAGTCAGCAAATGGTATGTGTGGTATTCTTACTTTTAATATTATTACATTATGTTCCTAGTTATGTGCACTATTTGCAGTAAACTAATTTTAATTTTCATTTATTGTATGTTCTATCACAACAAAAATATTTAAACATGTTTAGATCAACAAGTATCCATCAAATATGATAATAAAAACTGCTATTGTGATCAGAAAATATAAAATAAAAAAAAGTTTTTCATTTAAAATAATAACTTAGTATGTGGAAAAACGAAATCTACTTGAACACTGGAGTGTCCAAGCAGGCATGCGACATTCAAGTAGATTCATTGATCCTGAACACATCAAAGTTGACACTATCCTTAACCTTAGCCGAAATGATTTTAAACTCTGAACTACTTACACGAGACTGATACCTATTTTTTTTTTTTTTTATTTTTAACAGGGTATTAGCTCCCATTTGAGCAGAGCACCGCGACCATGATTGATCTTTTGTGCTACAACAGACCCTAACTGAACAAAAGACATTCCGCCTTTCGAATGAAGGCCAGAATGTCGGTTGTTGAGGACCTCCTAATGTCGGAAGGTGCCAGTAGTTCCCGACCCAGTGATCTTCTCCTGGCCCAGATCAAAGCTGGACAGTCACATAGAATGTGGCTGGTTGTCTCCTCTGCCTCCAAGCAGAGTCTACAATCTATCTCTTCGGATAGGCCCATTTTGTTGAGGTGGTAACGTAGCCCATGGTGACCCGTTAGATATCCCACTAGCAACCTCAACTCTGTTCTGCTAAAGGAGGATATCTTATTATAATTATAGGGGAGAACCAGCTCTTTAGCCTGACGGTTACCTCGACTGTCGCGCCAGTATCGACTTCTCTCGGTTGAGATCCAGTTATTGATTAGAGACCTAGTTGTAGACCAACTTAATCCACAAAAAGGTTCTGGGCCACAGATTAGAGTGGCGGATCCTGCTCGTGCAAGGCTATCGGCAGACTCATTACCATTAATTCCTGTGTGACCAGGCACCCAGCACAGACTGATACCTATAGTGACTACAGGTTTTTAAAAGACAAAACTTAACATAAAATGTTGTCTAATGAAATACTTAGTGGTGTGAAACCATGTCCTGTATTTTTGCTGTACTTTCGAGAGTTCTTGAAGTTTTTGTACGTTTTTGTACACGATATGGAATTTATGCTATCATTTAAAAACTTAAATTAAAAAATTAACTCACAGATCGAAATTAAGACAATGTTCTTATAAAAAATGAAAAATTAAATTGGCGTTGAAGCTTCAGTTCTACTATTGACTAACCGAATATTTTTTATTAAATATTAACGCATAGGTTTTATTATAAAGAAAATATTTTTAATTATTATTTGTTTATTAATATATTAAATTAATTTATTTAATTATCATTTCAGTTGCAAGTTCACCAGAAAGTTTACCAAAACGTGAAGAAGCAACCAGCGCAGGCATTTCTTGTGGTAATACCACCGGTATTGGTGCGACTACTTCAACCGGCAGTACAACAGATCGACGAACAGCTGCGAGTGCTGGTGGCACTATAAATAGTAGCGGTGGTGGTACATCAGTTGCAAACTCACCCAACGAAGTAACCAAATCAAAAGGACTAACATTTGATAGCGAAGGCTCAAATACAATTTTAGGTAGTGGATCCTCACCCAATGGTCAAGTAGCAAGTAAGTTAAAATTTTAAATATTTAATTAAAATTTCATAATTCACAATTTTTAATTAGTTTAACGTCACTAATGACATGAAATTACTTACTAAATTTTATTAATGCGAACTTTATTGCTTTTTAAATGCATATTAAATTTTAATTATACACTAGCAACCAGTTCAATTTGAATGGAAATTCCCTTGTGAGTTCCTTTCATGAGAACGTTCTTTTCCAAAATGGTTAGCTCAAGTCAAGTCAAACTGAAAAGTAGTTGCAGAAATTAAAATTAATGCAGTCCTTATCCTCTTACTTGCATTATGTCTCCATCAACTTCACATCGCATCACCGACTTTTGCATATTTTATGTAGCGCATTTTGTTGAATATTTAAAATGATGGCATCTGGAGCTCTACTTGGCGTTGCACCGACACTTTTACTGCTACATTGCAATTCATAAAATATAATAAAATTAAATAAATTGCATTATGACATTGCTCAATTTCGTTCCTAAATGTCAGAATATTTACCTTTGCGTAGAAGAAAGGACAAAAATACGTGATGCTTAGACTTTACTACTGCAGTTGGATGACATGACTCTGGAGAAATAACTGCATAAAAGCTGACAAAAAAAATTCGAAAGACTAACATGTATATTATTGTCCCATGTCGAAAAAAGGAAATTACTTTCACTAAATAACAAAAATGAATTGTATTATGTTACAATATCTTCCATAATCGTTGTACACAATATCAATTTTATACAAATGGTTTTATACCTAATATGTCTTACTGAAGTATTATTTTTGGCCATTGACATACATAAAAGCTCTGACAATAATTTCGTATCTGATTTTATTCATCAATTTTGACAAATTTTAAAGGACATAAACTCCTTTCCTCTATTAACACATCTTCAAACTAAGCAATTTTCAAGTAATTCTTTCGAAAAAAATAAAAGAATTTTAAAAACCTTAAAACATTTTATAAAATATTGGAAACGGAATCCCATTTCTTTCAGTCTCGAACAATGCGGATCCAAATAATCGTACTCTTCGGAAGTTCTCTCTATTTAAAAGAACTCTAAAAGTAATAGGTTAATTTTTTGGACATTGCCATTATCAATCAAATAATTTAAAGACAAAATTTCTGAAAAAGATAGTATAAACGACTTCTTTGATATAAAAAACGATAAAAACAGAAGAAACCATTTCTAATATTTTCTAAGATACACTAAATTAAAAAAAAAACAAAAAAATATGAAAGAAAATGCTAGTTCATCTGCCATCTCTCCACAAAAGAGAGCCGGAACAGTTAGTAATATTTTTTATGAAAAAGAACTAAGGAAGTTAGTGGGTAATTTGCTGATCATTATGATCTGCGTTTCTACCTTAACAAAATAGATCTTCTCTGAGAAGACAGCATTCCAACTCTGCTTGCAAGTGAAAGAGACATCTAATCACATAATTTGGGCCTCTCCAACCTGGCTTACCATGGTAACAATAATCATCTTTTTGTGAAAATTGCTTTGGTAGGAAAAACTTTCCATCATATTCTTCGTGAATGTAAGAATGTTCTTAAGTTTTGGCAATATGCCTATTACTAAAAAGCGGACTGTTTTCTGTTCATTCAGGGTTGCTTCGCACCAAAAAATATCAACCATTATCACAGTTCTTCGCTAAAGTCAATCTCGCATTTATTTTAATTTATTCTAGGACCTGAAAGTAAATCTATAAGTAAATCTATCTATTATTATATTACACTTTATAAAGGCATGGTAATTCTTATACAAAACTTTAATAAAGACACCTCAATTTCGAACTAGGAAATTACTTTGTCTCTTTACTAAAATAGTCAATGACTTTCATGTCTATGCTACAATATCATACGAACATTTTAAAATGGAAGATCCCACTATTAAACTGGGTTTAAGCACTTCTACCGTGTACCGTACAATAACGGAGCGTATAAGTAATACTTTGAATTCCTTTCCCTAACCCAAAGCTATGCAAATAGTCACTACAGGGAATCTTAAATACTATCTATCTTATTAAATTATATCTGCAATTTGTAACAATGAACCGTCAAACCTTCAAATTTTGTTGGACATCAAGAATGTAGAATATAATAAGAAGTGTGCTCTTTGCACCATTCTCTTATAATATTAATAATATAATAATTATAATATAATAATTATAATATAATAATAATAATTATAATAAATAATTATACACAATAAATTATGTATATATCGTCGAAATGAATCTGTAAGGCTTTCCTCTACTGATATGTCTCATGGGAAGCCATACGCCAGAGATTATATAGCAACAGAGCAAATACAATGTATTTTAAATATGCATTCCATAAGTATTACTGATACTTTCTGAGACTAAGGTTCATTTCACGATTTCACAGTCGTTAAGATTTTAAACTGATTTAAGTATGAATTAAGTCAGCAAAGTGAATAGCTCAAGTTAGTATTGAGACTTAACTTTTGACTATATAATCTGCCATAAACTTTTTTCTATTACGTATTTTATTCATTTGTTTATATTGCTTTGTAAATTCGACTGGTAATGCGATATGGATTCATATTTATATATAAATATTTCAAAAAGTTATAGACATAAATACTTTATAAAAATTTTTTCTTTTTATTACTTTCATAGTTAACATTTATTACGTTTGTTGTAAAAGTCATAAGCTTTAATTTTTTTTTATTATTCACAGAAGATATACTAAATATTAGTATATACAATTATTCACAGAAGACATAAACAATATACTGCCACACTTGAGTCATACTTTGCTATTTATAAAAGTGCTTCTCGGAAATCGAAGGTGTTTCATAAATATACAACTTTAATTTAATGTATCTGATCTTTCCTACCACTGTCTTCTGGAATAATAGCGCCCCTCCCACTGATGTTTTAAGCAAGTAAAGCCATTAGAAATTCCATTTGTTATTCTATTGTGACTGAACGATTTCTGCTATAAAATAAATCTTTTAAGGAATTGAACAACTTCATTGCGTGCTTGGGGCATAATAATAATTTATATCTGTAAACTGAAGTACGTTTACCTATAAATAAAAGCCAGCAAATGCACAGCATCACATATGTATTTTTTTTTTTTATTAAAAAAAAAATAGAAATTTGGTACAAAAGGGCACAAACTTGTTAGTTAAAAGAAAAAAAAGAAAGGATAATAAAATAAAAAAAAACACAATCGTTAGCAAATTTTTATCCTTAGGTTAAGCAAAACAAAGAAGCGCATTTACAAATCCCAAAGCATCCATATCTGCTTAGAAGTTGGCTTTTGTATAAGTAGTTTACAGATACATTTTTATTGTTTTCTTTTCTTTTTTTTGCATTTGCTTGCGTATATCTTTACCAATAAAATCTATTGAATGGATATAAATCCCAGTTTATATATTCAAGTTTTTTTTTATTTATTTTACTGTAAGAAGCTTCCAAATTGCTGCTACTTAAAGTGTTTATCTGTTTTTGGCTTAACACAATTCTGCACAATATAAATATAATGAATCTGAAAGTTTCATTAAAAATTAAATTTAACTTCAAGTTTATTTAAATACATAAAAGATAGATACAGTTCAAATGAGAAATTACTTAGGAAATTTATTCATGAACCTGATGAAAACAATTCCAGTAAATTGGCTATAATAATTTTAAAATAAAAGAATTATTTACTTGGTCTTTAAAAAATGTATTCCATATTTTATGAAAACGTTTAAATTACGAATATCTGCTAATTCGGAATGCAGATTAGGCCTCGATGATGAGGAAAGTACTATGCATATTATTTGTAACTGTTCAGCTTTAATAACGCCCAGAAGAAACTTGTTTCATTTGGAATTTCTGTCACCAGAACATATTCAGACCTCTTCTCTAGATTTAGTTCTAGACTTTGTTCACAAGACTTTAAAGGGCTTTGTGTAATCAATAGTTCAATAGCTACAATAGAACTCTTCTGGACGTAGTATCGGCTGTTGAGCGATTTCATATCAAAACTTTTATAATAATAATAGTTCATGAATACGAGTATATTTCAGAACTATTCAACTGTTTCCAACCACTTTTTCTCTACTGCAGATGTCAAATAGTGTAAACTATTTCGAAAATATATTCATGTATCTAATAAAACCAACTCCATTATCTTTAATATTTCTTTAATTAAAAATTTATATTTAATATTTTTTAAATTGAATTGTACAGTCCTAGTGTACTTGTTTCCATAACATTTAAGATTAAAAAAATTTATAAATTTATTATTTATAAATTATATAAAATGCAGACAGTTCCTCCCAGACAGTTTGCTCACAATTGACCAAAAACAACTAGAGTCGAGTAGTGACAATTGATAAAACATGGGCTCATTACTTCACACCTAAAGGATAATAAAAAGCCAGAGAATAAGTAGACCCCAGGGGTAGACCAAGAACTCAACAATCGGCTGGAGAAGTTTTGGCTTCTGTATTTTGAGATTCAAGTAGAATAATTTTCATAGACTATTTGGAAAAACGAAAAACAATAACATCAGACTACTGTTATATATTACTGGCGAATTGTTGCCTCACCCACCGTATTCTTCAGGTTTGACTCCCGGTGACTATTAGCTGTTTCCAAACTTGAAAAGATTGCTGCAGGGTGAGAGGTTTTCGTCAAATGATGAATTGGGATGAGACACTGAGATATATTTTGGAGAACTTTATAAATCGTATTATTTATCCAAATCTTAAAATATCATTGGACTCAGTGTGTCGAACTAAAAGGGGAATATATTGAAGTATAAAATATAATTTTTCGAAAAAAGTGTGTTTTTATTACTTGGACCGGGTATTAATCAATCCACCTAGTCACTATATTTTGTGATGTTTGCTTATTTCAAAAAAGCTTAACATTCTTATATAAGAACTATGCAGTTCTTATATAAGAATATTTGACCTGTTGTTGAATAAGGTCCTTCAATTTGTTAGTCCATTTCTTTTTGCTTAATAAATACATATAACGTATGTAGTTCTTATATATGAATATTTTACATGTTATTGAATAAGGTCCTTCAATATGTTATTCCATTTCTTTTTACTATATATTTAGATTTAAGTTAATATTACCATAATATTATTACATCCTGTTTAAAACACTAAATACGAGTATAACTTGATATTATTAATAACGTTTAAGAAGTCGTTAAATTTAATTTCATATAAACTACTTAAATTATACAAATTTATTCAATTTTTATTCATCATAAAATTTTTTTATTAGTAGTCCTACATATCAGACAATATTTTGTGATCCCTTTCTTGTCCTTATTATGTTTTAAACTGAATTTATATTTTTCCGCTTCGTTATGTTAGTGGCATTGTCTGCCTGGAATATGTTTCAAGGGTAGGAACAAAAAGGCGGCATACATATTTTTATTGGTTTCGATGTACAGAGAAGATTTATTATTTGACATGTGAAAAATCAAGGTTAGATTAAGGATAACGTTTTTCGTATCTTCATAAGGATGTGCGCTTGTATGTACTTTAGCTTATCTGCATGTTCATGTGCAAATATGAGTAACTACGAATAACAAAAATATTTTCTATTTATTTTACTGTTTAAAATTAAGCTACAGTTTATTTATTTATTTTTTCATATTTTATATATATAGTCTTTTATATATTTTTCACTTTTTTTTTGTTTTGTTCTTTATTTTTTATTGAGAAATATGTTTAATGAACCCTAAATAAATTCTATTCTCTGCTGAATAACAAAAATTATTGAAGCAAAAAGTGCTAAATAAAATCTTTTAATAATATTAAACATGCACATATGTGCTTATACAATATATTTATATAGAATATAATATAATTTAATTTTATACTTCATATGATTTTCTTTTATAAATAAATAAATTCATTCTTATTTTGTAAATTAATTTATTCGTACAGAACACGGTTCCTTGACAATTGTGCGACGTTCAAATAGTCGGAAAAATTTTACACAACTTGATGCACAACAAACCAATATATTAACTTCGCCCTCAAGTACAACTGCAACCTTCTTGCAACAGACAACAATACTGGGCGATACTCATCCCAACAATACTAATAAGGTTACAGCTACAGTAACGACAACTTCAGCTACAGTTAGCAATACAATTTACGCTTTAAACGACAATCGCACAAAAGATTTCATTAATCTTAAAGATAATATTACAAATACAATAACTGATACTACAACAAATTTAGCGAGTACATCTTATAGAACAGACGTCCTTCAGGAAGGTGTCCAAAAGCAACCACAACAATTAAAACAATTTTCAGTTATGGAACAACAGCCAAGCAAAATGTTACCAAGTTCACCAGGTGGACGTGCTAGTGGTTCGGGTAATAGTTTGAGTGATTTAAATACGATACGTAGTGCAAGTGATGAGCATACATTCGATGATCAAGATTCTAATATTAATGTGAGCAGTGTCGAATTGGCAACGGAAAATCTACCAGCTGTCGATACACCTGATGCTTGTGATAAAGCCGCAGTCAGGTGAGTCTTTTTGTTCAATCATTTATTTATAAATAAATAATGAATTTATCATATTTCTGAAGTATTTTAATTGTTTTCAAATTATTAAAAAAATTTGCTTATACACATTTATAAAACATAAATATCATCACTGAGAGCATTTGAAATTTTTTTAACTGTGATGAAGGCAATTAATCATAATTGCTACAATTATATTTGTCTTACTTCCTCTGCCTACAAAGTAGAGAATAGAAATAACATACAATATAAGAGTGGACCTAATTAAACTGTAACCAACTACAAACTGCTATAACATTGCGTCCATATTTCACTTAAAAATAACTAATTTCATTTTTCTTAACTATATATGTATAACCTTGGTATATAACCTAGGTAGGTTATTTCAATATAGCTGACCATATATAATTCTATCTATCTCTTGCGAAACCATATTAATTTAAACATAGTATAGATTAGCAGTAGGCATCCCCTAATAATGTTTTCGATTTTTTAATATAACCTAGGTAGGTTATTTCAATATAGCTGACCATATATAATTCTATCTATCTCTTGCGAAACCATATTAATTTAAACATAGTATAGATTACCAGTAGGCATCCCCCATGATGTTTTTGGTCTTTTAACATTTATATATTTTAATATACGAGGCACAAAAGACTTTGATTCTTTTAGAAATAGTTGAATTTATAATTTCTTCACTCTATGGTATCAAAGTAAACCTTTAAGCAAGCAATTAATTTTAGAAAAACCATTAAAAATTTGCAAAGAGTTTTTATTTTTTAAGCTAACTTAACAATTTGTGCAATTTTTAAAGTATTTTGTGACGTTGGAGTATATGAACATAGAAGTTAGAGTAAAATCTATAAGCTATAAATCTAGAAGCTATAAGTTAGAAGCTATATAAGTGAATGATAAATTCTATAGGTATATATATACAGTATATATTATCAGATAGTCAAGCTATTTCAAAGTCCTTAAATTCAATCCAATTTACATCCAGATCGGTTTTGACTGCTTCACACCTCTAAAGAGGTATCGACGCAGTTCAATGTTTATTTAGTCTCGGTTCCCGGTCATAGGTATATTTTCAGCAATTGCATAACAAACAAGCTAGCTAGACGGGGTGCTTCAGAAAATAACTTGGAACATTTGAACAATCTGGGTATATTGCTGACAATATGCAAACTGTTACTGAGTCATTTCTGTGCTGAACGTTTTAATAAAAGATGGAAAGACTCAACTATACGTAGACATCTGTATGTACTGTGTTCACATTCCATTTAAAAGAAATTCAATACTCCCCTCGAAATTTCTTGTAGAGATATCAATATTATGATAGGTTTATTCAGAAATCGTTGCAGATAAAGAAACCATGTTAGAAGATTGAATCTCCCTTTCAAGCATATCTGTCGCAGTGCCTCTTATCTGCTTTGTTCTTGCTCAGTATATGCGCGGCGCCCACTCAACACTCTAGGAGCCTGATTTTTTCAAATTCCATCCCCACCCTGAACAGATACACCATGTATATTATATGAAAATATAATATTATTAACTGAAACTAGAGCTAATTATATTACATGCTATTTATACTCATCTTTAATATTTTATATAAACCAGCTTTATGTTTAAATATGTATTTGTTTACTTTATTTTAAATAAGAAAATTGCATAAATTTTGAGTTTTGTTATTGTTTCTGTGATAAGCAGAATCCTTGTCTTTTATATTAAAATTGAATATTTTTATAAGCTAATTGCAAATTTTTGAATTTCAGGCTTCGTTGTCTACTGCGTTTGCTTAACACTGGTCAAATATCAAACGAAGTTTTACAAAGAAATTTACATTATGCAGCTCGAGTGCTCGAAGCAGTTTTTCTTGATGAGGCAAAGTAAGTAAAGTCTGCATTCTCTTAGTTATTAAGTGACATTTTTAATATATAAAGGTTGTTGGTATTTTATAGAAAAACATTAAATATTTAATTTTTAGAAAATATTTCTCAAAATATAACATGTATATCCAGCATTCTCTAACATTTATATTATATATAAGTACATTATTAAATATTATTTAACTAAAAACCATTGAAAAGTATTTTTAGCAAAATTTTCATTAAAGAAAAGCTATGAAGCAAATAAATATATATAAAAATTGGATTTAAATGGTGAGCTTAGGCAAATTCGCTATAAAATTAAAAAACAATTAAATTAATATGTTAAGCTAACACAAGCAAATATTTTTTAGCTAATATATGTGCAAATTATTTAGCAAAAAATGCTTATTTAGAGCCTCAGAACGCTTAAGGATGTAATACATTTGAAGCTTGCTTAAAACTTATCAGCAATTGTCAGCTAAATTAATACCTAAATTATTATCAAAATTAAAAAACAATATTTTAGATACATCATAATACAAATCACTTACAATTCGTTCTTCCTTGTAAATATTGAGGAATACAAAAATTTTCATCCGAATGACATGTCGAAACATATGTTTCGAAGTTTTGCGTTTCATCGTTTACCGTTCACCGTTTATTATTGTCCCCTCAGATACAAAACATTTTCAGATACAAAAAAAAAAAATTTTTTCTTTTAAACATACATACATATATGTATTAAAAACTGACCTTTCGATTTTATTTTTGAACTTCATATGCGTGTTCATTTATTACATTTATATGCTGTTTTAGCCATTTTGCCTTTTTGTGCTTTTTTAACAATAAAAAAAAACTAAAAAATTTAAAAATTTAAAAACATTTTTAGTTCCGATTTTATGTATTTTGTCTTCCTTTTTTCGTTTTTATGTTTTCATTTAAATTTTGCAGAAGCCCCTCGGCAGGTAAAACAAAATTGGGGCAAAAATCATCATCGTCCGTTGAACGTGAAGAGTAAGTGCTAGTAATTTCTTCATTTGATTTGTCCTCTTCTTTAAATATTGCGTTTTTTCATTAATCTAATAATTTTTCTGTGAAACACTTAACTATTTTTCTTATAAAAAATTATTAAAAAATTTTCTTTTATGCTGAATATTTATTCTTATTTTTTCATTTCGTTTATTCATGGCCAAACTTAAAGATGAATTTTTTTATATACTCTCGTTTGTGTATGATTTTCTCTTATGTGCTCCGCCATATATCACTCAAGCTACAACTACATCATATATATCATTCATATACCAAACCCATTACCAGAAACCAAAACTTCAATTTCAGCAATTTCAATCAAAAGATACATTTTAAATCATATAAACAAAATGCAATCAATGTTTTCAACATTTTAAAGCGCATCACAGTTTAATCTGTGCTTAAATCCAGATTACAAATCTCAATCTGTGCATTGTAATATGTAGCACATTAGCCTTAATGACTTTTATTTAAACTAGATTAAAAAATAAGCACACTTAAAATATAAATTTCTTAAGAAAATTATTGAAATGACTTAGTACTTTTTCTATTTCTTTTTGAACAATATATATATTATTAATAATATATAAATAAATAAAATAAATAAATTATTATTATGATATAATTATATTATTATGTAAATGATATATTATCACATCAAATAATATTCAAATCATAATTATAATTAATTAATAACTATAACTAATAATATATTATTATAAAATTATTTATAGTATTATTATTATTGCAAAGTATAATTATATAAATTAATAACTATAATTAATAATATATAATTATAAAATTATTTATAGTATTATTATTATTGCAAATTATAATTATAATTAATTAATAGCTGTAATTAATAATATGTTATTATAAAATTATTTATAATATTAATAATAATATAAATAAATTACATAATATATACATATAATATATCTATGTGAATACATACATATAAATATATTATTATATATTATTATTTATATATCATTTTCAATAATATAAATATTAATAGTTTTATAATATGTATATTATTAATTATATAAATTAATTATTATTAATATATATATTATTAAAACAATTATTACAAATTATAATAATTATTACGAAACAAATTATATATATATATATATATATATATATCGATATATATCGAAATTTTCACAAAAGTCTTAAAAAAATAAATTACTTGAAGAACATAAATGCAGGTAGTTCTTAACCCTTCCAAGTACCAGAAAACAGCTTCTTGCTTAAAAACAGCCAAATCATTAAGAGGGAGGATATAATGTCCTCAAAAGAGACTTAAATGCGGTCAGCGTACAATATTTAAATAAAATAGTAAAAATTAAATTTAAAAAAAAATAATTTCAATTATTGAAAGAAGTAAAGATAATAGATAATATACTACATAATAGTTAAGGACTCGTCTCAACTTTTATATCAAATTATCAAAACTCCACGTTAAAACAGACAAGTCAAGTACGGCTTTGGGTCAGGTCAGTTGGCTAATCAACACTGACTCTGAGCTTCAAATTTGGCAGGGTGCGAGTTGCACCCTTGTTACTTGCAGTCTCAAAAAATTATTTATGAATAATTAAATATAAAAAATAATTCCAAGACCATTGATGATGAGTATTTGGTAATACTCGAAATAGTTGTAATTCAATTAGTTAATAAAATAATTAAATATTATTTTTGTAATTTTTATGTATGTTATGTATGTTATATCTACTTCCTGGACAGTCTAAGTATTAAATTGATTAAAGCGGTTTCCTTTAGATTTGAAAAATTCCTTAGTATTAATTTAAAAAATTTTAAAATTTAAAGGTACTCGTATTTTCAGTAAAAAGTCATTTCAATTCTGATCTCTGAATTTTAATTTTTTTGTGTGCTTATAAAAATACTAATTTTTTTAATTTAAAATTATAGATCATTTAGTTGTTAGTTATCATTTTCATGTATGTAGCAAGATAAACATAGTTTCTTATTAAAAGTCCTTGAATTAGGAACATATACATTGCAAGCATTATTCTATTAGCATTTAAAAAAACATTATTACTTTTATAAAAATTATTTTATGTTAGCTAACAAAATTAATACTAAAATAGATTTCTTCAATAGTAGAATTATTTTTACTGGTTAGTTCATTTTTACACAATAATTAATAAAAATAAATGTTTAATTTTTTTATTTCAAAACTATGTTTATTAAGAGACAGCACATTAAAATTATATATATATATTAAATTGCTTTCGAAACTAAATTTTATTAAAATATATAATTTAAATAATATACACAAACGTTTTTTTGAACAATTAAAATAAAGTTCAATCTTTTTTTTCAGTGTTTTTTTATTCAATTTGAAAGCAGCTGTGTTTTAATCATTTATTCTGATATCTCTAAGCAAATTTTTTCAAATTACTTAAAGCACAATATATATTTTTCATAATATATACAAGAACGATCCTTTTTAATATGACTTAAGTTTTTCTGACATTTAAAGTTTTGTGAAATTAAGCAATCAAAATTTATAAAAATTCATTATATTAAATATAGATTTGTCTTAAATTATGTATAATGTTACTAGAATAAAGTTGGATTAAAAGCTTGCATATCTTCAGAAATACTTACTTTACATACTAGAATATATCGGTTTTTAAAATGATATATATAATATTAATATATTTAATAAACCATGAGTTATAGGACATAACATAAGAACAGATTCCGTTTAATATTATAATAGATTAAAACAGATATATATTTTTAACTTTAATATTAGAAACAAGGCTGTAAGCTATTTTTTTCACTACAGTTCAGTTTGAAAAAAATAAATCACTCTCCTTTTGAACTTCATATTCTCCAGTTTGTGCTCACAAAGACCAAATCTTATAAAGCTTTAGGTAATGAGCACATTCCTTATAAGTTCTACAAAAACTCTCCTATTGGTTTCTTCAACCAGTTACTTACGCTATATAATTTTATATTTCTTCACGGTATTATACCATCTTCGTTTTCAAAATCGATAATTCTACCCAAATTTAAAAAAGGAGATCTTATTTCCGATTTTCCTATTTATATATCGCCTATATATATATTACATATCGGTTATATATCCGAAACTACTCATTCTTTAAGAGTAGCATACTTAACGAATTTATTTAATTAAAAACATGTTTCTATAAACATTGTTAATTTAATTTAATTTTAATTTAACTAATTAAAATTAATTTAATTCTTAACTATTGTAATATAGTAAAGCACGTTAATAAGCTGGTACAGAATTGTACCGTGCTGAACCAGTATAAATCGGTAAATAAATTTTTGAGTTGAATTCCAATTTTCGCTTTGGCAATGCACCAGTTCTCTTTAGATCGGTCCGATGCACTGAAAAAGTTTAAGAAAAGTAATGAAATAATTTCTAATTTTCATCATCTTAATAATTTTCTTACCATAGCTTAGTGTAAATTGAAGTGCCAGTCTTCCACACCAAAGCCTACTTAAGCACAAATAGTAGCCCGTTGTGGTACCATAGATTATTTTACCATAATACCATAATGCATTACTTTTGAAAATTCATAAGAATTTAGTTAATATTGATATTGACCCAAATTAATAATAAAGAAATTATAGAACACAATTTTTTATTTTTTTAAAATTCAGACAATTATTAATTAATTTGTCCGATGTCAGAAAAATTTAACGAGATCTATAAGTGTTGGGTTATTGTTTTTTTATTTAGTAGTAATAAATTAAACATATATTTTAGTTAGATATTTTACATATACATATACGAGTAGTTAAATATATTCTTGAAACGTATTAAAACATATATATATATATATCTTTGAACCAGTCTTAATTCCGTTCTCCCCTCACTCAATACTATCAACTAGTGTATTTCATACTTCACATCTGTACATAGTTTCACATCTTTTCACAAAATTTCACATAAATTTCACTATTCAACATTTTCATTCGTAGGATTTATATAAAAATATTTTAATAAAAAAAATATGTAAAAACTGTGTCTGAACATTTCTAATACTTAAGTAATCGTGCAAGTGTAATAATTCAAAATAATAATATAACAAGAAAATTAACTAATAGTTTAAATAAACACAATATACTTAGTAAAACAATATTTTTAGAAAAAAAAAAAATGAAAATAATTTTAAGTGAAATTTTTATTTGAGATATAATTTTTTGATTATATAAAAGAAAATTATTGTTAATGCACAAAACTAAAATTATGAAATTTAATTTTCACTTCCATGAACATAAATGCTTCGAATTAAAAACTTTTAAGTTAATAACGCGGAAAAATTTCAAAATTTAAATAAAAACCTTAAAAGAACGTTTTTATTTATATATTTTATATAGTAAAAGTATTTATATATTTTATATAGTATATACAAATCAACTATTCACAATATTTTAATTAATAAAAGTAGAAATTAATAACTGTTAATAATGAATTAAATAATTTAAAAAAAAATTAATATATTAATTTAATTTTAAAATAATTATATTTGAAATATTTAGTATTTTACAACAGTATCTTAAGTTAATCTGCTCGTAGTTCTTTATGGCAAATAAAAATAAATAAAAATATAAATAAAGTATTAAATAATTTATATGAAGTGATTGTACAATATAGTCTTTATTATTGCGCTTTAAAAATACTCTATATATATTCTATATATAAATAATCCATATATATATATATATAATACATATATATACATATTAATTACTTAAATGATTTAGAATATTATACATATATATATATGTTTGACTGCTGAGAATACACATATATACATATTAATTACTTAAATGATTTAGAATATTATACATATATATATATATGTTTGACTGCTGACTTACCGACTGTTCTACTACTTGATGGACTTCTACTTGGCTGTTTAACCGGCTTATATTTTATATAGTACAGTGATATTTTTAATTATACAAATTTATAG